GAGTTCTCTCTGAGGTTTGGGATTCAGGAAATGATCTGTTTCACCACCAGAGGGGGATATTCCCCTGCCTGGTCTTTCTTCATAATTAAATGTTCATTTATATAAATAAAACACAGACATAAGTTCATAAATGAGTTGRATGACGTCACTCTGTGATTATAAAGGCTTTGCAGAGATACTTATGGTGRYTTTTGGCCAAATAGCCCTGATTGTATCACTCAGATTAAAAATAGTGATATTTTCCAGGTAGGTCAGAGCTTTGTTGGCCAAGCCGAATTGTTAAACATCTTTCCAGATGTATGGCGTTCAAGTTTTGTGCAGCTAGCCCCTTCCTGTCTCAAGTTTTGTCTAAAATGGTCTGTTTTCTAGTAGAGTTCTCTGCAGTGACAGAACTCTAATCTAATAAACCATTAATAATAATAATACATTTGATTTTTTGCGCACTTTATATTCAAGAATCCCAAAGTGCTACAAAAMTAAATAAATAAATAAATCAAACGTGGCCATAGAAGGTGCAAAACTTATTCATTACTCATCTGTTAAAGATAAGTCGATTAATTGTTTGTACCTCTAGGTGTGAATGGTTGGTTGTCTCATGTCTCTGTGTCCCTTTGATGCATTGAAGACCAGTCCAAGTTGTACCCCGCCTCTGGAACCTGCTGGAGACTGGCACCAGCTCACTGCAAACTGGTCCCACAAAACCAGAATCATCTCTAGTTTTTATGATTCTAKCTTTATAACTTTACACCCTGAGCAGTAATGGATCTACCTGCCAGCAGGTCTACTGTCTAATGTTCCTCTGTTGGTTTAGTCCTGCCAGCTCAGACAGGGTGACCTGAACACCTGTTTCTCCACAGCCAGGACTAGGATGGTAAGCAGCCAGCCGAAGTACGAGCTAATCCAGGAGGTGGGGCGCGGCAGCTACGGCGTGGTCTATGAGGCAGTGGTGAAGCGCACAGGGGCCCGGGTGGCGGTGAAGAAGATCCGTTGCCACTCTCCTGAGAATGTGGAACTGGCCCTGAGAGAGTTCTGGGCCTTGAGCAGCATTCAGAGCCAGCACCCGAACGTTATCCACCTCGAGGAGTGTATCCTGCAGCGAGACCAGCTGGCCCAGAGGATGAACCATGGCTCCAGTTCTCCGCTCTACCTCGAGGTGAGGATGCAGGTTTTTCTTTACAAAGTACTAAACTTTTCTTCGACAGGCCGTGTGTTCTGACTGAATGGATGTATTGAAAGTGTTCTTTGTTGTCAGTGCAGGACAGACACTTCTGTAATTCCTTCAAAGTAAAAGCTTTCCTGTTRGAGGAGCACAACCCTCATTTTGTCCTCTTCTTAGCTTAAGGATAAACTCAAAAATACAGTAGAAGTGAGGGTTATAATCTAGATTTTAAACATCCAAATGCAGCCATAACCGAACCATAGTCGATCAAAAGTATAAAAGAAAATAAGTAGTTTGTTGAAGTCAAACAGCTGACAGTTTTTTATCGTGCACAAATCAGAGACACAACACCAGTGTCTGTAAAAACTTCAGCTTCTGTTAAGGTAAAAGTACATTATACACAAGGTAAAAGTACATTATACACACGTTTCCACCCAGACAACCTCCCTGCTGAACGTAGAGTCTGTTCTGTCTGCTGGAGTTCACAAGCAAGTCTCCAGAATCCACTGAGAGCTTCTCAGCAGGGATTCTCACGAGTTTCATCGTTCTGATCACAGAGGCCTGTGGTGTTGTCTGTGGGGTGCCGTTTGTAAAGTTACACAGTCAAAAATTACCACCAATATTTTTGTTTTATTTATCCT